TACAGCCTTGAGTAACTAATGAAAGAAAATATAGTAAGAGTATGTTCAAATATTGAAATCTCTAAAAAAGAAAAAACGATCAATGTTTACCCTCGGACGTAATTTTCTATAATCATCATCATTGTAATGTTTCAACACATTAACTGCATATCTTGCAGAGCAAACTAAACTGTGATAGCGAGATGAAGAGGGATTTCGAGATCTCGGACTCCAATAAACTGCACCAAGAACACCATCTTCTCCGTAAGACACCACTAAGTTTTCGATTGCATTCCACCATATATTCCCATCGGAGACCATGTCGTTCATGTTGTTGGTGACATCGAGTGGAATCAACGACCTTTCAAAGAGCTCGGTGAATTTGAAAAGAAAGCCAACACGTTCTTCTATAGTCCAGAAGAACGGAGAATCAATCAGAAAGTCGAATTCTACAGACTTCCTGTGACAAAATAAATAAATAAAATTATAAAAACAATTAGAAATTATTGTATAACAAGTTGATTGAAAAGATAGACTTACATATATTTTCCACGGGTGAGCAAAAAAAAAATATTGCATCTCCAGATCTAGAGAATATTCACCTCCGATTTCCCCCATTTTCACAATTGCATCAATACATTCACCTACTTCGCGGAACGGGTATACAATTGTTGTGTACAAAAGCTCACGTAGATCATTAAGGTCTCTCGATGATTGGAAATCTTGATATTCGGCACACGGCTTAACTTTGCCTTGCGAATTACAGACAAAGACACCTCTTCCATTAAGCCTCAAGCATGACTCGCCGAAACTTGAGAGAACCCAAAGGCCTCTTGTAATACCGCTTCAATAAAATAAAAAATAATATATTAAATTGTAGCACATGAAATGTTGTAAACGAAAAATTTATAGAATAACACACTAAATTGCTTACCAGAAATTTCTTTTCACATCAGCCTTTATGAAATTCCACCACTCTATCTTCGATTGGTTTTCAACTTCTTTACGGAAAACTTCACAGCGCTCTTCGAGCCAAGTAAAGAAAGGAATTGCGTGCTCCACAACAATGTCAAAAACTTTGATTTCAACACCATTTTTTTTCACTAGTTGACTAAGAATCAGAGACTTAGCCCTCAATATAAAATGCTCCTCCTTCAGAGCACAAATTACCGATTTCATTTAAAATTCTCAAATCGTTGCTCGCATGAGAGCGATCCAGATATCTCAACAACGTGCCCTTCTCATCCTCCTCCCCGTGACAAAACGTCTCCCTTCTAACAAAGGAACAAGAGAATCCTTCTTCCAAGTTGCCTTCAACCAGTTTCATAATTTTCCAATCGAACCTAGAATCCTATCACATTTCAAGAACAAGTGCCATTTAAACGTATTACTCAACACTAGAAAGTAAGCTACACCAAAATACTTGTAAAATAATCATTAATACATTCGTAGTCAACCAAATAAAATATAACTATTTCTCACATACATGATATTAGTTAAATATATTCCTAGCGAACACTATTTGTACATTTATTGAAGATAAGATTCTTGAGCTAGCCAACAATCATATGTCATGTCAAAGAGAACAAGAAAACTTGAAAAATATCAATTATCAATCCTCCAAAAAAAAACAGTGAAAGAAAGTGATGTTAAAGGTATGATATGCATCAAATATTAAATAGTGATATGATGAAAGTCACTTCAAGTAGTTGTGCAAGAAGATTTGTAGCAAAAATTAATAATTAGAAAAGTCTAAAAGCAAATAAAGAAACAAATTGTGTAAAGATGGAAAGTTGAATGCAAACCGAGAGTTACAAAGTTTTTTGCATGCACTTCCTAAGCTTAGCAGGATAGAAAAATGTTGTGAAATGTTGTAAAACAAAGACAATCACTTTTATACTCCCATGATTATTAAAAAAAGTTAACAAAAGCCAATTAAGTAATAGAACAATATTAAAATAAAAGTTAAACATATGCGAAGATGAAGATGTAGAACTGAAGGAGAATATCATTTATTCAGAATGAAAAAC